CCTACCCCATCAACATCGGGCCCGAGCTCCGCTCCTTCAAGGACTTCACGACCGGCTTCCCGCCAGACCTCCGCGGCGAGGCCCTCTCCAACTCGGAGACCATCCGCACCGCGCACAACGCCTTCGCGCGCGCCTCGCCCTTCGTCGATGAGACGGTGCGCACGGCGCAGGATGAGGAGGCGGATGTCTACCATTTCATTGCGTATACGCCTGTCAACGGGGTGCTGTATGAGCTTGATGGGTTGCAGCCGTATCCGATTAGTCATGGCGAGTGTGATGCTGAGACGTTCCCTGAGAAGGTGATTGAGGTCTTGCAGCGGCGTATTGCGCGGTATCCTGAGGGGGAGACGCGGTTTAATCTTATGGCCGTGGTGAGGGATTTGAGGGTCCGCGCTCGGGAGACGGGGGATGTGGAGTTGTTGGAGCGGGAGGGGAGGAAGAGACGCGCGTGGGCGTGGGAGAATACCCTGCGCCGGTGGAATTTTGTAGGGTTCATTGGGGAGATGATCAAGGGGGTGGTGGGGATGAAGGAGAAGGAGGGGCCTGGGGCGTATGAGGCGTGGGTGGACAAGGCGAAGCAGGAGACTCAGAAGAGATTGTTGAGTCGGAGAGGTTAACCATGAATGATCTCCATGATAGTTTATGAGCAAAATGGATGATACAGCGCCATTGATACAGAAGCTAGCCGTCACAAAGAAAAGCTATGTACAGGTACATCGAGTCATAGTACCGCCGAAGAACCATGTAGCTTCGTATCATCAGTCATCAGTCGTCATAAATAGCGAGAACAAAATCCACACCCTCTAGCCAAACTAATACTCGATCATGCGAGATTTGATATGCTCCACCATCCGAGGTGGGAGCTCATCCTCCCGGACCAAATTCAGCGCAAGTAGATCCGCCCAGAAGAACATCGCCCGATCCTGCGCGTAGGCAAGATAGTCAAACTCGTCCGCCTCGTCCACGTCCGCGTCGACTGGAGGCTGCGCTGGTCGCTCAGCAGCTGCCACTGCTGATCCGCTTGAATCACTGCTGTGACCGTTCCCATTAGACGCTTTCGCCGCTGCGGCCGCCGCAATCCCCTCCTCCATACCGGGTACCTTGGCCTGTACAATTCCCCAGGCAACCCACTGAGCAGAGTTGAACACGCGCCAGAGTCTCGTCTGCTTCATCAGGAAGTGGAGCTCGGCCTCCAGGCTATCTTCCTGCGACTTCTCGGCCTCCAACTGGCCCTGGAGGTCTGCTTCGGTCATCGAGTCGAGGTCCAGAGGCGCTAATGAGGTCATGGTCGCCGAGTTTCCTCGCATGAGGGGAGTGATGGACGGAGAAGTGGCCGATCGCACTCCTGGTCTATGGGTCAGATATGAGGCGATGAACATGCGTTGCTGCTCGGGTGTTGGATAGTGTCGGTTGTTGCACGCCCAGGCTCTCTCAGGATCGTGATAGTTATAACACCATTCGCTCTGCATTGAGTCAGTTGAGCCCTTTCTCACGCTGTCGGTCTACACTCACAAAATGGTTCGCAAACTCGAACCCTGGGGTATTTGCCGAAGCATACTCAAAGTCAATGACTACCAGTTGCTTGTGCTTGTTTTCAGGCAAAAGAAGCGGCGATTCGGAGGCGGGTTCCATTCGAAGCAGATTGCCATATTGAGTCTGACCCGGTTAGTGGATGAACAATCAAAAGACAATGAAAATGCCGAAAGGAATGACCTACATCGTTGTGCGCAAAAACCAACTGCCGCTTGATCTCCTTGATCCCTCCGCAGCTGGATACAAGCCATTTCCGGTAATTTTCGACGGCCTTTCTGAAGATAGGCCATGGAACACCACAAACAAATCCGCGACGGCGCCAGGGTTCCGAAGCTGCCTTGGCCTCGTTGTGGTCAGACTGAATTTCCATGTCCAGCCAGTTGATGACTTGCTCGCAGCGATCAACCCACTTGTCCCAGTTTTTGAAGACTACCGGGCCGCCTTCTCTCTCCTCTTCAAGCAGTTCGATCCCTTCGTGCAGCTCGCGCATACGTTTCGCAATCTGCTTCATGGTCTCCGGAACACGCAAGTCCTTGGGCGTGAGTGGACGCGCTTCCAAAAACTCCTCGAATCGGCCGTTGTTGAACGTCCCCAGTACCTTGGGTCCAATGTTCTTCCGGCCTAAGCGACGAAGAATCTGCAGCTCGTTCTCTCTGTCAATCAAGTGATCCACCTGCGGACCATAGATACGCAATAGAAGCTTCCTACGCGAATCATGTTAGCACTTATCGCCAGGTAAGGCAGAAGCGACAGAAGACTTACGGCGGGGGCTTTCGAGGAACAAGAGAATAAGACCCATCTTCGCCTTTAGGCGGAGGGAGGGATTTTGGTGGATTGACCACATACACTGCGTTGGTCAAGGCACCACTCAATCTGATTACCTCAATCTCGCCAGCAAGCTCCTGAGGAAACTTTCGCCAACCTTTGATTTGAAGCGTAATGGCAAGGCGAACAATCTCGTTCTTGAACGTCAACCAAGCTTCCTTATCCTTCGATCGTCGATCGTCTTCCTCGGCGGTCCCGCCTGTGTATGCGAGCGTCTTGGAATTGTCCAGTACTGCATCAACAGCGGGAACTGCCGTGTCAAGATCATACTGATCGGATTCGGACGCAGAGCCTCTGCGCAGACCCTTGATGCGGGAACGCTTGCGGGTTGGTCCCCGTAGTGGATAGGCCGACGAGGAGCCCTCAATGCGGGAAGCGGCGTACCGAAGGAGGATCTTTTCGAGCTTGTCGAGAGCAAATGCACTTTCGGAGTCGTGAGATGCGGTCTTATCCAGGATCCCATCGTAGTAATCGTCATCGCCATCACTTTCGACACCCTCGCCTGTCCCTCTCAACTTCGACCGGCGGCTTTTTTGTTTCACTTTTTCTTGTTGGAGCCACTCATATACTTGGTGAAACAGGCCATCGTGAGAGTTCTCTTCGCTGATCTTCGCGCCTTGCTCTTTCTCACACTGGCTGCGAGATTCACTTACGACGCTAGGTGTCTGCGATGTATGATGCAATGGGGTCCGAGTCGTGGGTTTCTTGGCCACTGGCGCGCGGTGCTGCTTGGAAGGACTACCTTCATTTGCCGCAATTGCTGTGCTCGCATGCCCATTTTCAGTGAGAATCTTCTGAAAAGAAGAGATATTAAGGCCAGTTCCCAAAATTGGCTTCACCCCTTCTAAAAATTGGTCAGATCCCATCATATTTCCTAATCAAAGGTACGGGCAGAGCAAGGAATATTGGTGGTAGATGCATGGGAGGTAATTCATAAAAGCTGCTTTGGGTAGAAGTCGTGAACAGGCCATGCGCTCATGTGATTTCGGGAACGGCTGAGCCTCGACTGACCAGAAGTACTACTGAGTACCAACTACGAAGGGAAAGCCAATTGACAGCAAGAATAAAAACGTTTATCGGGGCTAAAAAGAATAAACTGTACTCAAGGCAGACACCTACCTTCAGTTTCCAGACCAGAACCGCCGCGCGGGTCGGCGAAGGAGGGCATGTCCGACAGTCCAGGGAGGCGGTCGAGAACCCCAGCTCTCGAAAAGACAGAATGTTGATGAAATGACCAATAGAAAGTTTTAGAGCCGTCACATACAGACAGGAGGCCGGCGACACTCTTGTTTGGAGCGATTGGTTCGAAGGTCTTTAAAAGGGAACACTTAGGTTCAAGTAACGTCGGAATGCAAGCAAAGTAGAAGACACTTGCGAATCACCCGCCGGATAGACGGAGAAGGACAGAGAAGAGTCAGGAAGAAAGAGAATAATAGTAGCGGTCTAGTGGGGAGCCGACAACAGAAGAGACACGGTTTGGTCTTTGGAAGCGGTCGGGGATTATGATGAATCCACAATCCGCAGAGTGGATTCTCCTGGTGGGAACCACTTTTTAGAGAAACCGAATCGCTGTTGGAGAATACTAGACTGAAGATCTAGATTGCTTGAGCAGACCGACCACCGAAACGCAAAATATGAACAGATGCGACAGATTGATAAATATATGAAGAAGAAAGAGAAATGGTGACGGAATCTGGTTGGGAAGAGGGAAAAAGGAGTGGCAAAAATCCGCCCAAAAGTCGCTTATCAGGCAAAAAAAAGACTGTGGCCTCAGGTGACTACTTTCCCTTTCCAGGTACCTCGCGAGATGGATACACAAGGACCAATCTCCAGGAGATCATCGTCTAGACTTGCCTTCCGATAAGCAAATGAACAGCTTCTGCAACGCCAATGTTGGCTTAGTCCACAGCCAGTGGCTTGCAAGAGACAACTATACATTGGCCTAGCGTGTTGTACAACTCCTGACCTGTTCAGCCGAAGCAGGTACCATTAACCTTCAGCAGGCGTCAGATAAGAACAACGTCAATACAGAGATAACCTAGCTGTCCGCTATCTCCGATGCTTCCAATGATCTGCAATGCAGATACTGATAAGCCTAGCAGTATTACCGAATGGTTCTGACTGGCGCATTGGGGTTCGTTGCTCTGGGACTCCGGAATCAATCCCCAGGGGGAGAAAACAAGCATTGGCCCCGCATCAGCTGGTTACGTGAGCGGTCTTAAAACAATTCGGTTGTTCATTATTCATCCACAGTCATACTGAGATTTGTCGCATGGGGTTTTGCTTCTGTACGAAAAGCCATAGCAAATGACTGAGCTGCTTGGGAACATTTGGCGTGGTAAGGACAAGTGGTTGTCAACGGAAGAAAAGACTTGAGTGAGGGGAAACAAGGGGATTATATACGTTTGTGGCCTGAAGAATGCCTGGCTTGCAAGGCGGCCAAGCCAGAATCACGTTCCCCTTATGGCGCAATCACGACTCCAATCACAACAGTCCAGATACTACAGTAAACATTATTCTCATTCGTCCCAATGCTGTGTACTGCAGGCCTCTGACCTAGTCATACCATTCATGCCAATTCTGGTTGTGTTAAAGTACACTCCACACCTTGAAGCCTGACTTTCCCCCTAACCCGACCTCATTTAATCCAGTAGCATACTCCAACGCGTAGCCTTGACTATTGGAAAAGTGATCTTAACTTGAGCCGCCTGGTCACTGCAGTTGGCTGGTAGAAGGGTACCGCGTGGCCCTAGCCATTTACCATCCAGAGCACTGGAGATCAGGAAAAGCCCGCTCTCCTTGCCATTCGAATAGTGGATCACCCGTCGCTGTTTCTTTTCCCTGTGATCAGGAACGGCTGGACTTATGCTCAGATGAGTGGCATTGCTGGCATTTGTGAGTGCGTAACCGGCTTTGTCAAACACCGGGTAACGACCTTCGGTCAAGTAACCAACGCATTCCTTGTATCCACCCTCGAACCACAAGGCTTCCGACGTGTCATTCTGCTGCCCGTACGGGACAGATGGTCGTTGAACCGGATATTTGGCTTGGCAATTGAATGTACCGACATACGAGTTGCCGACCATGGCGGGCGCATCGGCATTTGGAATATGAGGGATACTGTAATCAGGCTATCAAATCGTCAGTGACATCACCGAAGCAGATTGCACTCTGTGGCCTACATGATCCAAATCCAAAGCATTGACAAGGTTGGACATATGTTCCCGACGCCAGTGCACCGTCTGATCGGTCTGAATGTTCTTGTATCCGCGAGCGGCCAGCCATTGTTCCAAGACCAGGATCTGTGAGTTGTGGTCTGCTCGCTCGGTGAACAGTTGACTTGCACGTTAGGGTCATTGAAACCCCGGACTCCTGCCATCGTGCCAAAGTACTGTGTCTGTCAATGAGCGCTTTACCCCAAAATGGAGATGCAGCTGCCAAAAACATACATTGTTCCATGACCTGTTTTCCTGCATGAAAATAACAGCATGCTCAATGTCCTTCAAAGATCCGGCAACGGTAGGCCGACTCGAGAGCACGGCCAGAGCAGCACCAATCAATAGTGAATTTCGCATTCAGTGTTCAGTCCAGAACTCAATGCTGAACGAGTCAGAGTGACCAGCGAGAAAGGAAGGAGCACTTGCTATCATTTACAGGGCGAAGGATCAATTCATCCGATCTGTATCCCAAACTCAATCTCGAGACTATCCCGTCTTCACGAGCCATCCTTTCCTCACTCCCCAAGCACGCCAACCAGACTCACGTCGTGTACACCAAGATCCAGAAACTCTCCAAAAACCACAACGTCCCCTACGCCTTCTTCAACCACACCTCCTGGAGACCGCAAAGCAACCCTTCAACGCCCCTTCTCTACCTTCCCCACGACAAATGGGACGAAAACCAACTCTATTACTACAGGACTCGACCCGATGTGGGTCGACCTGGTGGTGAATAACTCGACGAGGGGTCTCACCCTTTTTCACCTTGTATAACTCCCCTTCCATCCCAGTTCCACGACAGAACAGAAACTGACGATCCCAGCACGGTCACCACTTCTACGTTCTACACGTCTACAAAGCTTCATAGGCTGGGGCTCCTATAACCCCTTCACCGATGCGCATCCGCCAGGTTTACCGCCTGTGGACAGTTCCAATGCCATCGACAACGGGGTCGGGGATGCTTCGCCATATGACCTCTCCCGTGCGGTACTGCGTGATACGGTCCAGATCCCCAGCCGCGGATACGCGGTTCTACGCTTCCGCGCAGAGAATCCAGGGGTGTGGTTGTTCCATTGTCATATTGTGTGGCATTTGGCGAATGGCATGGCGATGGTGGTTCCTCTGGTGGGCAGGAGTGTATGGCTTCATAGAGTACATGATTCTGGGAAAGACCCTCACATTCGCAATGCGACAGAGCGGAGCAAGCTGCCGATGGAATTAATTTCTAAGTATGCTTATAACCCTTACTAGAGTACAATAGATGGAACAGTCCCCGTCCGCAGAGGTAATCAGGGAATAGTTAGATAGTTTTCTCCCTAGTGCCCGGATGAAATCCCAATGTTTCAAGGCTTCGCCGTCAGGGCTTGCTTTCTGGTTCCGCGTCTGCATCGCTCTCTGCTCTATCAAAGGATCTCTTCGCTTTAAGAAGATCCACTGGTATAGTTGCTTCACTGCCTTATCGTGCCATGAAGTGCATGGGTTGGCAGGGTAATGATTGTCAAGGGTGATGAAATTAGACATGCAACTCTCTGTAACAAAGAGAAGTGTACAGCTATGCCGAGTAAGGCTTGGTTAAAATTATTGAACAATGAAAGAAATATCTGAGGTGCAAAGAGCCAGCTTTTGATGAAGTTTACTAGAAATCTACCTAGCCATCCGATACCGGTATCACCTGTCCATTTCCCATTCTGCGTAATCAGACAAAACCAGTCATTGACCACATGTCGATAATAAGACATCGGAAGAAAGAAATAAACAAATTACAACACTATACACCACGCAGTAAGAATAACCCATAAAACTACACTGATCGTAATCATAAAGCCCATTTAGGTAGAAGCGGAAGCCCACTCAACGACCTCCAACGCACACATGACAAGTATGAGAGTGGAAGGGAGAATCCTAGGATCTGTTAGTGTCTGGACCCTGAGCTTGAGCATGCAAGTAACTTACCAAACAACATAGCTCTGGAACAGAAGCTTCGACATGGCAGAGACGTATACATTATTGATCTGGCAAATCTGTGCCAGTTGCAGAGCGGACGGAGCTCCAGTAAGCAAGAAGCAGACGATTATGAAGATCGGATCGCCCAAGATACTGATAGGGACGTGTTTAGCGAGCAGAGCAAGGAGAGGTGCCATAATCAAGGTTGGGAGCAGCATGCGTGCCACGAGCGAGGCAATAATGAGTTTCTTCTCTTCCTTGGGATGCCCCATGTCTTCGAGCGCTTCTTGGGACAAAGTGTTTCGTGCGAGGTTGGCTCCTAGGACGACCAGGATCAAGGGTACAGCAACTTGAGCATTCTGGTTGATAGCTCTGGTGACCGAATTGTTCACGAATGTATCCTCGTCGAAGAACAAGTGCTGTAGGGACGGCACGGATGCCACGATAATCGACACAAGCATAGCCCACAGCGGAGGGTTCATGAAGTCCCATAGGCCACGGAGAAACGTCTTGATACCGCGAGCACAAACAGACAAGGGCTTCTGTATAGGGCTCGGAAGTCGATTGTACACTGCGTTTGTGCTCTTCTCCCAGCCGCTCGCGATACAGCTTGTCATGCGACTACGGCGTTGCCCCAGATACTGCTTGACTCGTGTGAACGATCCCTTTTGGTGCTGGTGACCTTCATGCGACAACTCAACACTCGGAAACAATAGGATGTGGCCTCCAGTACTCTGGCGCGGAAGGAATGGTCCGCTGGGAGGAGGCCCGATCAGGGAAGGGTGGTGGTCTGATTCATGGTTTACTTGGCCATGAGTGGGCAGCTTCGTATAGGAATATGTCTGAGCTGTCACGGGGGTCTGTTCACCGGACCTGAACTCATCCGTGTCACCGGAAGAGCCCGCTGCATGGTGGGTAAGGCTATCAGAGCTTCGAGTTCTGATAAGTGGCTCATCTGGGTCGGTTTGGTTCGGGTTGTCGCCGTATCGTTCCTGCCCTTGCTCAATTCGGGTCACACCGTCTTCCCTATCTGCCTCTTCCAGGTATCGTTCCTTCGGGGCAAGAAGAACACGATAGCCCCAACTCCAGCGCACGAGCTGACCTAATTGCTGAAATATGAGTAGGTATAGAATTCCACGGGCCGCCACTTCGTCATCGTTGTCATTAGGGACTTTGCTCCAGTGAAGGCCTTTTAGGGTCTGCGAGAGCGACATGACGAGGGAAATAGGTAGGGAGTTCGAGTTACCGAAGACCTGTTAATAAAGGAGATTAGATAGGGAATGCGGTGAAAAGATTTTGGAATACGTACAGCCATTGCCGCCACAAAATTGGCCTGTCGTTTTTTGAAGCGGAAACATCGCGATATAACCCAAGCACATGAATAAGAGACGAAGGTCTGAACGATGAAGATAAACGGGATAATGGCAAGATCAGTGATTTTCTCCGCCGTCAGTTGAGAACCAAGTTTGATGAAGACTGCGCCATATTAGCTTCAAGATCATCCACTGGAGGCAACAACAAAAAGCTACATACTCAGACATGGGGTAAACAGCATGACGTTGAGGTTAGCGACCAACTTCTGAGCTTCTGCGTCGAACATGCCCTGTCGGGCAACTATGTAACCCGGCAAGCTGACACATACTACCTCCAACACAGCTTCGAAAACCAGGAGGACGAGGTGGAAGAATGATGGATGGCTCGAATGGCCGCCATCCTGAAGCAACCCAGCATTTATGATCCCCGATGGCATTTGAGTCATGAACTGGCGAGGGACCAAGGCATTGACATTCTGAAACGATTTAGGAGACGTAAGAATGGCCATGGAACGGAGAAGTTATTGATCAGAATCACCCGGCGGAGAGGATGAGCGAAGGATGTTCAGTGGCGGAGCGCCGAAGGTGATGTCGTAGATGAGAGATCCGCCTATTATTTAAGGTTGGGGCTGGTGCTCGGAAAGTGAGCGACGGTCGGGTTCGCCTTTCGAGCTAAACAGGGATTGGGAAAAGGTGAAATTTCAGCGTGAGAAAGCGGGATCAGGTGAAAAATATTATACAAAGTTGTAGTGACAGTGGGATATTGAAGATGAGAATGAGACTAGACGGGATGGAAAGCTCAAGTGGCAGTGTTGGATATGGCAGTGTGAGACGGCGAATCGCCCAGGAGTCTTAGCGCCAAGAAGGTAGAGAACAATTTAGATAGTTCGAAGGAAGGTCGAATAACGATAATACAAAGCTGTTTCAGGACACGTCAATAATGAAACAGTTCAGGCGACCGGCTGAGATAGTGATGATATAATCACTACCTAATCCTTTGTGCGACTTCTAAAAGCTGCCAGCTGGTTTAACACCTGTTTTGAAGCTTCTTGTTCTCGTAGACTTGATCAGCCAAAAACGCCAATTCTGACGCAAAAAATGTGCCAAGAATCCAAAGGAAGCACTACAATGGCACATTCTTCAGCACAGAGTATTTGATTGGCTTTATCCCTTATCTTACTTTGGCTCTCCATCAAACAGTCAACCTACGTACCTTGGTACTTTTCTAATAGGGTACTTCTCTATCAGCTGTACCCCACAGGTACTTATTTCACTTGAGCATCACCTTTCCGGTTTGATGTGCGAATCTACAGACAGGTGCCCATCGAGTCCCTTTCTACTTACAGGTGAACGGTCTTGGCATGTTGTACAAGAACACATAGGTCCATCCTCATTCTCTCACCACCACGCCGAGAGAGCAAGCAATTTTAAAAGGTCGTCCTATTCATATCTAGATACTGCAAGTCACTTTGAAGTCATCAGTAATATACAGCACTACAGTCATTCACTTGGACAGTCATAGGGATCTTTATCTCTATCACGTCATGATCAGCACACATCTTGGATCCCTGCAGATACCTTAAACAGTTCCGATTGTCTGAAGGCAGCAGCACGGAGGGATATTAAAGTCATTACTATCCTCAACTGTGGTCATTTGGTGGCACACTCGATTGGGCCGCACCTGACTCAAAAAGAGTAAAGAATGGAACCGAAATTTGATACTTTGATACCTAAATTGTTTGTCAAGAAGAACCGCCGACCAGTTCTCTCGGTCAGACTGCTCCCAAGCCACGCGCATTGCATTATTTGGTTACTCCGTACTATCATTATCCGACATTATATGACTTCATCTGATGCATATGACAGGTAACGGCTTGCTTTGGTGTCTATATCTGAATCATGGTGGGAGAGCCCAGGAACAAATATGGATAATATTAAGCAAACAATCACAACGGACTTTGCCTCCATTCCGATCCAGACAGTACGATTGGCTGATCATAATCATATCAAGCCAAACACTCATGCATTGCACCATCCACAGCAGCGCCACAACGGGAGGACCTCAACCGATCGGCAACATAGCCAGGAAAGCCCGCCAATGACAGCTCCGTTTGATCAATCATCGATACCCTTCCTAGGTAGGTACCTTACGGACTACGGAGAAGTCTGAAGGATTCGGGACAAGGATTTATCGGGAATGGACAGATAGCAGATACAACGTAGCACAGTATACAGCATCTGGTGAGGTGATAGTGAATGACAGGAAGAACAGAGTTTAATACCTAAGGTATATTCTCCAAGCTAACACCTGAGAGGGTGAGGATGAAGTTGATGAACTAATAACTTAGGAGGCCTGAGTCTGACGTAGTGTGGGGTTACCAGTTCTCCAGAAAACAAGATCAAACCTGCGCTACTACAACACAAGCTGGTTATTCAGCAACAATAATGAGAGCTTTAGGTACTATTAGAGCTATTAAATTAATGATAACATCATAGTTTGACTGGACAGAAACGAAGGCACCTAATTTGTCAAATTGAATTTACTCCATGGGTGTTAGCCATAGATCTGGACTCGCAGTTCCGTGTCCCGATGGTAAAGTCGGATAGTTCGGTTCAATGCAGCCTGTGCTTCTTCTACCGTTTCCTGGTGGAATCTCGTCTGTAGAGAATCAAGACTATGCAAGAGGTCGGTCTAGGACCTTTGCAGGTTAGACATAGTAGTGAATCAGTGGCCAAATTGAGTCGTTGATAGTAATACCTCTCTACATCGATAACAAACAAATAATATTGCTGCCTCGTCCACCTTGCTAAGGCGACACCCTTGAGCGCCTGAGGCCAACCATTGGCTGGTTTTTCTTCCCGCCAACGCACCAACGAGAGAAACGCATCCCCCGGCCATAGTATACGTATCTCGTCGACCCGAGTATGCGATTATATGGTTGATGGTTGGAGATGACTACTTCCACTACTCTACTACTAATATCTTATTCCACTATCATAATTAAATGGCATTCCGCCATCTCTCAACTCAACCCAGGTTCGAACAGAACGTGCTCATTCCTTGATCAATCCTTGAACAGCTGGAAATTTCTCGACCATCCACAGCCAAGACTTCCCAGTTTCCTTGGCTGCCACACTTGCCCCAGGCATAATTCCCTGGATCTCCATCTTTTATCTCAAAACTCCTCCCCTCTTTCGATACCCTGGAAATCTAATCCGTTCATACAATTACCCGGCCTTCCCCTCTCTGGCATCTTCTCAAGGCACCGGGAGACTTTGCAAGTAATTCACACTACTTGAGTTTCATCTATCCAGCCTTGTTTTCGGTACGATTCTTGCCCCGCGTTGAGGCAAACTGCCACTGTTCACTAGACCCCGCAGGCTCTTTCACGTCAGATATCTAATTCTTGTGACAGCAGCAGTGTACATTTACAAAAACTTCGATCTATCGCTTTCTCAGAAAACTAGCTCATTCTGGATTCTCCACCTTCCCTCCTTTCATGATCGCCGTCCTGGGTTGTCCGTATCCCGTTCGAAAAAAAGTACTCGAAACGGCACCCACTTTCCCATCCACTCCACGATGAGCGCGGCTACAGTGGGCCCAGAGCAAGAATCGGTCGCAGAGGTTCCCTCCGCTCAAGTCGATATTGACAACCGATCCGACAACACAACCGACGATGACCTTTCCCCCTCTGTCACTGCTCCTCCGTCTCTTACTTCGGTACCATCCCTTCGGCCGGACCAGGATATGACATCGGGGATAAGTGCTTCGTCTACTCATTTGGGCCAAATCAATGCGGCTCGGCGTGGTGTAGGGACGCCGACACGGCCGCACGCCTCCATGAGTGGCGCACAGCCGGGCGGTTTGAATCAGGACATCCTGGCCAAGATGAAGGCCTTCTCCCTCTCCAGACAGGGTGCTCCCCCGTATTTACCTCATGCTGTCTCTACCGGAACGATCCCTTCGTCCAGACCAAGCATTTCCGCTTCGCCAAGTCCGGTAGGAGGGCCATCGCCTCCCATGGGAGGTGCACTTGCCGGGCGTCTTCCCCCGACAGCGCGCCCTCATGGTAAAAATTGGGCGTCTTCGCCCTCAGTGCCGGGAGCTACTGCAGGTTCTCATTCGCCTTCGCCGAAAACCGGCAGCCTGGCCGCAAAAAGAATGAAGCCAGGGTTGAAACTGTCAGATGCCACTGGCCCTGCGACTGGTTCTGGAACCAGCTCGCCTGGCGATGGATCTTCGGACGCATCTGGAGGGTCGGCATTCAGCAAATATTCTGAGTACATTGACACCAAGGCAGGGACTCTGAATTTCAAAAACAAGGCGATCCTGCACGGTGGCGGCGTCGAATTCTCGTCCGGACATAGTTTCAGCATCTCGTTAGATGAGGTTGAGCGACTGGATGAGCTAGGTAAGGGCAACTACGGAACGGTCTACAAAGTTCGACATAGCCGGCCCCATATGCGCAAACCTGGTATGGGGCTTCGCGGCATCGTTAGTCGCCCAACTGAGAACTCGACCCCGGATAGCACTTCCGCGGCTAAGCCCCAGGACAATCTTTCCGGTTACATTATGGCGATGAAGGAGATTCGCTTGGAGCTGGATGAAAACAAGTTTGCCCAGATCATCATGGAGTTGGATATTTTGCACCGTTGCGTTTCGCCATTCATTATCGACTTCTACGGCGCATTCTTTCAGGAGGGTGCGGTCTATATGTGTGTGGAATATATGGACGGAGGCTCTATCGATAAACTCTACAAGGACGGCGTACCCGAAAACATTCTCCGAAAGGTCGCATTATCCACCGTTATGGGATTGAAGACCCTCAAAGACGATCATAACATCATTCATCGGGACGTGAAGCCTACCAATATTCTTGTCAATTCTCGAGGTCAAATCAAGATTTGCGATTTCGGTGTGAGCGGCAATTTGGTCGCCAGTATCGCGAAGACAAATATTGGCTGCCAGAGTTATATGGCACCGGAACGTATTGCAGGAGGCGGCGTGCAGCAGTCAGGCGCGACTGGTGGTGGAACTTATAGTGTGCAGAGCGACATCTGGAGTTTGGGCCTGACCATCATCGAATGCGCTATCGGTCGCTATCCATATCCTCCGGAAACTTTTAACAACATTTTCAGCCAGTTGCATGTGAGTTTTAATCCCTTTCTCAGTTAATTTGCATGATCGAACACTTTCTAATGTCATTTCAAGGCTATCGTGCATGGGGATCCGCCAACATTACCGGAGCAAGGATATTCGGAAGAGGCGCATGCATTCGTCCGCGCTTGTTTGGATAAAACTCCCAGCAAGCGTCCTTCATATAGTACCTTACTCAGACATCCCTGGCTTGCTCCCTTGATGCAGCCCCCGACGGAGTCGAATGGTACCGAGGCAACATCCGCCGCTTCGTCTGACGGCCAACCTGGCGGGCCCGATACGAGTACTGCGACCGAGGATGAGGAAGTGGCGGAATGGGTCAAGGAGCGAATTGAACGTCGCCAACGGGGACACCTACAAGAGGCAGAGAAACCTGCATTGCATGCAGTGGCCCTGGATGCAGTGCCCGGTAGCCCTCTGCTTGATGATCCCTCCTCGCTACCGTCACTTTCTTAGGACAATCCGTCAGCTCATCTCTTATAACACCTGAACATTTCATTCTTCTCAATAATCCCCATTCTCTATCTTCTATTTCCTGTTGGACCGAGCGAGTGCATGAACGGAGGACTTGTTGGCGCTGGCGCCGTCTGGGCAGTTCTCCATTCCTTCAACCTGCAATTTTCATCATTGATGCTGTTGTTTCTCTTCGAACTCACATCTACGTACTGCAAAACTTTACTTATGTGTGATGGATTCCGAAATGTAAAGTACCGGCAGCTTGAATTCTTATTGTCTCTCATGTAAATAAATACATAACGTTTCCATACCCTTATTTCGGGTTAGATCATCTCCCAAAATAGGACAACCTCATATATCTCATGTCCTTCTTGACTCCAAAGGATTTGTCATTTCTGTGCCGTTCATCACCAAACGCTTAGCAATCAATCGCGTCACGTGTGGCTGCGATGACCAAATCTCCAGCCTAGAACGCTAAAACCAGTACATATCGGCGAAGTCGGCGTTCATCTTCGGGAGATCAAAAACTCGGAAAGCGCCCGTCGATCTTATAAGATAGCCATTGAGAGGCAATTGGTCGTTGTGGACGGTAATCTGATTTCACTGCCTACTACTCTACTCTGCTGACTTCTTGTGCGTCAGCAATCCGTATTCTCCGTCATCCACCACATCATCCGGGTTCCCCGCCAGCTTCAATCCTGGGAGCGTCCGTTTTAGCTCTTGATTACTCTAGCTAGCTTCTGCCCCTCCAATAATCCATCCTCCTTCCCTTCTTTCTCCCCCTCATTCGACATCCACCACCTGCAGAGGGGTCAATAAAAAACAGAAAAAACCGGACCCTCCATGCTCTCCCGCTCCTCGCTCCACATTCTGCTTCCAGCTCAAGCATTCAAACCTCGCGTGCCGCAACTGATCCGTTCATCAACTATCGTTCAGTCTGCTCGAGTCATCTCTACAGTTGCAGATCGACGAACCAAATCTGCGACTCGAAAACTGGATTCTCCCACTCTGATTTCCAAGACAGCGCCCCGTCTCGCCTCTCTCTCTCGACACTTTTCATCGACTGCGGTTGCAGCGGACTCCAGCAACATGGCTCCTACGGACGTTCAGCAGTATGACTATATTGTTTTGGGTGGTGGTAGTGGTGGTAGCGGTAGCGCACGGCGTGCCGCTGGCTGGTACGGTGCAAAGACGCTGATTGTGGAAAGTGGACGGGCTGGTGGTACTTGCGTCAACGTCGGGTATGTTCTGTGCCTTGCTCCCCGTACGGCCCAGGGAAGTGTGGGAGATGCTAACTGAAGGGTCTGCAGCTGTGTCCCCAAGAAGATGACCTGGAATTTCGCTTCCGTCAACGAAGCTCTCCACGTCGGCGAGCACTACGGCTACGACATCCCCAAGGACGTCAAGATCAACTACCGTCAATTCAAGGAAACCCGCGACGCCGTCGTCAAACGTCTGAACGGTGCCTACGAGAGAAACTGGGGCAAGGAAGGCATCGACCTCGTGCACGGCCGCGCTCGGTTCGTCGAGCCCAAGGTCATCGAGGTTACGCTCAGTGACGGCGCAAAGGCGCGGTACTCGGCGCCTCACATTCTCATCGCGACCGGTGGCCGGCCCACCATTCCCCCTGTCAAGGGTGCCGAGCATGGTATCACTAGCGACGGGTTCTTTGAGATCGAGGAGCTCCCGCCCAAGGTTGCTGTCGTGGGTGCGGGTTACATTGCCGTCGAGCTGGCTGGTGTCATGGCTGCCGTCGGCGTGGAGACCCACATGTTCATTCGGGGTGAGACGATGCTGCGCAAGTTCGACCCTATGATTCAGAAGACGATGACGGAGCGGTACGAGGCGACCGGCGTGCGCATGCACAAGAAGCACGGCGGGTTCAAGGAGGTGCAGCTGGTGAAGGACGGCAAGGGCAAGGACAAGGTGCTCAAGCTGATTGGCAATGACGGGTCGGAGGAGGAATTCAACGAGCTGCTGTGGGCTATCGGTCGTCAGCCCGAGGTCGAGGATCTGCATCTCGAGGTCCCCGGCGTGAAGCTCAACGAAAGTGGCCACATCGTTGTCGACCAGTACCAGAACACCTCGGCGGATGGTGTTTATGCTCTCGGCGATGTCACTGGCGTTGCGGAACTCACACCAGGTACGTTACTTTCTCCTTTGTTCCTCTATTGAACTTGACTAAGACTTTCGCTTCGTGTAGTGGCCATTGCAGCCGGTCGCCAACTCGGCAGCCGTCTCTTCGGCCCCCCGGCCCTCAAATCCGCTAAACTGTCCTACGAGAATATTCCCACCGTGGTCTTTGCGCACCCCGAAGTCGGCACCATCGGTCTGACCGAGCCGCAAGCCCGCCAACGCTACGGTGACGACAAGGTCAAGGTTTATTATACCAAATTCACCGCGATGTACTACGACGTGCTCCCGGCAGAGGAGAAGAAGAAGAACCCGACCGAGTTCAAGATTGTGTGTGTCGGTCCCGAGGAGAAGGTGGTCGGTCTGCACATTCTGGGTCTCGGCGTGGGCGAGATGCTGCAGGGTTTCGGTGTCGCGATCAAGATGGGTGCTACCAAGAAGGACTTTGATAGCTGTGTTGCTATCCACCCGACCAGTGCAGAGGAGTTGGTGACCATGCGGTAGATTCTAGTGAGTTAGTTCTAGACAGTGAATACAATAGACATTGTACATGGATATACAGAGTATATTCGGGCGGTATTTGTCAGAACCTCGATTGTTTAAAGACAACTGCCCATTATTCGATCAATAAGTAAAGAGAGAAAAACAAAGAGAAAACAGCTCATCCTCTCCTACATACATACAATAGATATTATTTATTTATTTATTTATTATATATTAATTATATTAATACGATAAAAAAGGTGAGGAGGGCCGACATCAACAAACAAACCCAACCCCAACAAGGAAGGAGCGAGGGGACAAAAAAAGTTGTCCAAAAAGGGAAGGGCCCAAACCGCGACTCGAACGCGGGTCTCATCCATACAGAGCTCTTTTGAGAGCCGAAGCATACACCTTACGGTGCTCAACCCCGAAGGATGAATCGTACCTCTGGACCATTTGGGCAATTCTATGGTAATATCAAGATCAATAAGAATAATAAGATACCTAAAAATGGTATAGGCACATCTAGGCAAACTAATCTCATTCTAACATCACTTATACTCTAGAAACATTCATTAGAATTAGATTAGTTTGCCTAGATGTGTCTATATTATTTTTAGGTATATTATTACTCTTATTAATCTTGATATTACCATAGAATTGCTTGAATATCTAGTGGTATAGTTCATCCTCTGGGGTTGAGCACCGCAAGATGTAAGCCTCAGCTCTCAAAAGAGCTCTGTATGAATATTTTTCGCCAGTTCAAAGTCCTTGGAAGCTGTGAATTAAATAAAAGCTTTAACTAGAAAGATCATTAAGGATGTACCACCTCTTATACTTAATTTGAAAAGCTTAATTCTAATTGCATGCTCATGAGTTTATATCTATTGTGGGCATGAGAAGTTTGGCAGATAACAGAGCCTGGCTTAATGACACCACGACACTAGTTACTCTCTCACCATCCTACTACACTCTACTTCTTCCTATTTAGTATTATTATAAGTATCCTTATTGTTCTCACATAATACCTAACCCTAAGGATTCTTTCTCCACCTTATGGAGTTTAAAGAGATAAGTAACGAGACAGAAACCTATAATCCCAGCTAAAGGGAGCCATGCAGATTAAATGCGTCAGTAGTATCACCTAGGCTTAGCTTAAGCTTAGTGCTCTCCTTATGCTACATAACTGGTGAGACTATGGGCAGATGCAGACTCAACCTTAGCTAATGATGTCTGATATAGTCTGCAAGAGGGAGTCTTTCTGTCTGGAGACGATGTTGGCATGCAAGTATCTTCCAGATCTCACTGCACATAAATGAATGTTATTGCCATAGGAAACTGTTGACTCTTTTAGTGTTGACCTAGGGGCTACACGGCATTATTATATCCTCCATGAGGCTGGTCCTTCGTTGACTAGAGGCTGTGGTATTGCCATGGAACATTAGAGTCAACTTATAACATGCATATATAATCCTTCTCCGGACTGAGTTCAGTTTTTATGTAGAGATAAGAAAGATGTATTATTGCAGAACTAGGAGAGCCACCTGAGATTGTATATCTTTGTTAATTTTGCCGTTTAGACTGCCGTAGACTTCGCCAACCCTGAAACTAGAGCTTGCATTATGGATGGGTGCTATTCATCTAATCTTGTCATCCATCTGACAGCCTACCCTTGTCTGCATCATCCTTTCAATCTACATATCTCACCCTTTTTAATACTGAGGTTACAATCATTCATCTTCTACTTTATGTAATGCCAGAGCACTATAACTTGGTAGCATATGCTGCTTGCCAGGGACACTGATCACTCAAAGCGACATTTACCTAGAATTAACACTGTATGATTATAGTCTCAATACTAGCATCAATCCATCATGAGTAGTCAGATCTCTCTTCCTCTTCTACTCTTGCATCTATTCTAATAATTTCCGAGATAAAGGCAAATGGTTCCCTTTCAATACCCTCATCAGGTTGTCCAAGACTGAAAAGAACACGTTTATGGTATGCCCTCCTTTCTTGACCATGTCTCAAAGCTTTACATGTTAGGTGCAGGCTGACAGGTTGGGAATTGAGTATTATGGCAAGTTGATATCAAAAGGTACCCTGCATGATCGCACCAGTATGTAGCTGCCCAATGACTTCCCGGCTACATCCACCTCAAGTTTTCCTACACACCCATTCCAAACCATCTTATGCGAGATAAATACTCCTAAGGTTGTGTTTTGCTCTTTATAGATGTTATCAGCTCTCAGCTTTCTTTCAGTCACTCTATTAGCAGCACCTGTGTTGTCCATGCTGTTAGCATGAGCATGAACATCATTGGGGAGCTTCTCAAGTCAGCTAGTACTAATAATCACTAGGTGAAGAAGATGTTGGACTCCTGTGTCTCTGGCAAGGTAAGCTGGCACTATCTCTAAGAAATTATTGTGTTAATAGTCCCTCTAGCCACGCAATGTTATCTTCTGTTTCTGCAGTCTTAAGGATGCTGTTAGATTCCATACCTCTGTCGCGATGCTGATTAGGAATGTTATGATATTCAGCACACAGTTGACCTGTAGGACTTCCTGTGTTGTTAGCTGGTGTTGGAATAATAATGCTCTGTCGCTATAGACGATACTCGCTATCGGATACCATACTAATTAGGAACTGTAGACGACCTCAACAAATGTATTAATCATAATGGGTCGAATGGCCGCTGAATATGGCAAGGACCATGAACTGGGAACATCTTCCAAGCATGGGATGAGCACTCTTAGCCATTTCGTCCTTACAGGCTGGGTGGAGAATGGCCAGGAGAACATGCATAATTCCTGCCTACTTTATACAAGTAAGTAAGCGAGAAGAATTAAAACGTATGCATGCTGATCCAATGCTAGGGAATACTGGACCCTTTGGGTGATCTTGTATGATTGCTCACAATATCTATAACTTATCAAGAGCAGTCAGTAGTCTATTATATACCCACTTTCTACTGTAGTTTGCAGCAGGTGAGGTAAATCAACAAAAGATGGAAATTCAGTATATTATGAAGGGTAGTACTTTAAGGCTAGATTTTTGTACGTAAGGTAACTGCAAAATTATGTTTTCCCGCTCTGTATTGCCTACTGGTGCAATTGTTTATGGTAGAGTATCATTTTCAAAGGAGCGCAACGACGGCTATGTCTGCCGATGAGACCTCTGAGTCGGCATGCCCTGCTGTGTCACTACCTAATACAGTGAACACTCCAGAAAAGGCCGGTGCCTCACTGGCCTCAGTCCGACTACTATTCTGCATCACAAGATTGTGACTGTAATCTGTTATTCCACCTTGCGCTCTTCAATATCTCTGTGGGCTCGTTTTCAAACGTGGCTTTGCTTCGCACACCCACCCCTCCGACTACCTGGTAGCCTCATCCGACTCAAACATCAGAACAAGTATCCCTTGCTCACGCTCCTGCGCATGTTCATCCCCTATCCGTCTTGATTCTTCCCAATTCCTGCTCGATTTTCTCTCTGCGAGCTTATCGAAGATACCAAGAACGATACGGGTATCATCACATCTCATTTTAACTCTATCCACAATCTCCGCGCTATTCAATCTGGCGCAGGCGGACACGCCCGTGCGATTGATTTACCGGCTCTATGAGCTCCACCTTGCTGATCATTACGAGCTGGTGGTGTGGGAGACGGAATAGTTCTTCTATCGGCGGGACTGGAAGCTACGGGACATACCAGACCCGGGAGATCCTGATCCGCTTCGTTATGCGATCGTCGCTTCCATTGTTGAGGAATTACAGGAGGCAGTCAATTGGAATTTGGGTCTCGGTCTGCGGAGGAATCGGGAGCATGTGTATCGTGAAGAAGACGGAGACGCATGGCCGCCTTTCACTCCGAGGAAGTGCCTGGCTGGACCAAGACGGTGGCCCGTATTGATAAGGATCTACTGAGGCTGTTAGTGCCGCCAGAATCACTGGATGCGGAGGGGAATTTAGTGCCTGAAGCTAATGGTAAAAGTCCCAATTTTGCCCGGCGTAATATTATCACAAACACGGGGTGGTCCTATACTGTCTAGGAACGATTCAATTGCTACCCTCGAGTATTGACTGATTTGGCTGTACTGTATCTACCCACTGCAGCTGGTGGGTACACATATTTAAACTAGAGAAAAGCAAGATTAATTCCAGTAGGAAGATACTACGCAAGAACTGTTTGGTGATATATTCATATTAATGGCTTGAATATCCGCTAGCAATAGAAGTGCATGCACTTGTTTCTCCTTGAAGAAGCTGGATTCCACGAAAGTCTCCATTTAGATAGAGCAGAGAATATTAACCTATCACGCATAGAGTCCTTCTCCTGGATCGGGAGATGAAAAGGCTGCGAGCAGCAAATGAGAAGGAAGTCAATACTGCATTTACCATGTCCCATCCTAAATCTACCGCCAGCTAGCAGTTGCTGTGGCGGTAGTACCTGAGCATCCGGTAGGAACAGTGTAGCTGCGGTTGGGGTCGCTCTCCCAGATGACGCTCCCGTCAGTCTCCTTCTTAATGAACTTGTATTGGAAAGTCGTCCCTGCTGGGAGATTGATCGTCGTGATCCACAGCGGGTTCGAGGTGGTGTACCGGCTGGCGGACAGCGCCACCGCGTTATCGGTGGACCAAGAGCCCAACTGGCTGATTGACCCAGTGATAAAAACGTTCTCTCCGTAGGTCGTGGTCACCAATTCATTGAATGTGACGGGGATAAGGCTAGCTGTAGCGGTGCAAGTTGACGTGGACGTGGAAGTAGAAGTGGTACTTGTCGTCGTGGAGGTTGTAGTACTTCCAGACCCAGAAATCGCAATGTCGGCGCAGTGAAGGTAGACCTGTGCAGTCTGGAAAGAGTTCCATCTGAAGCGGAGCAAGGTATGGTTGGAGGAGTAGTTCGGGATTTTGATCCGCTTGGTTACGGTATAACCACCGGCAATAGTTGTCTTGCAGGAGTTCAGTGGCGCCCCATCAACTCCCTGACAGGCTCGGGCAGTATTAGCCTGGAAGGCATTACATGTGAACCAATCATTTCTCCAGCAGGCTGCTCCCTCTGTACAATCCGGGTTGTACCCACATGTCTGGCCAGAGACATCTGTGCATTTGAGCTCACCCTCCAGGAAACAGTCCTCTGCAGCTTGCTTTTCACCATGGGTTGGGAGGTAGCCTGGAGTTAGGAATTTATCAACCAGGGTTTGGTTCTGGCAAATACCGTAGGTGAACATGCCACCGTGGTCGCCATTCGCATCAACACACCATTGAACCTCAACAACTTCCCCAGAAGTATAAGTTACCACCGGTTCATTACCCCAGTGATCACTGGGCTGGTTGTAGTCAACGCTAACACGGGCATTGTAGCCACATGGCCCACTCCGGCCAACTTGAGCTTCCTCAAGGTCAGGCCAGGCTGTAACTGGTTCCAAGATAGAACATTCGGGGCACGTATCAATACCAGCCTAGAATACATAAAATAATCATCAACATTATGTAAGGAGAAGGGAATTACCCTGCACCCTTACCTCGAACCCAAGACGGGTACGACTCGCAGGGATAGTCAGATATCCATGTCCATAAGCCGACGCGAAACAGCCCGCAGCCACCAAAATGGAGAAAATCATTGTTATATGTAGTGATAGGACGAGGAATGGTCAATTATATTGGTTTGGGGAAAATTTGAAGAACTAAAAGAGGGGAAGAAATTGTGCGATAATAGCATGAATAAACCTAGAGGAATGTGCTCTTTCACTGTTATATGCATTTCTGAAGCAAAGTCATGCCACTTGGTGTTGTCTGCATTTGCCAAAACGGTTGCAAGAGAAATGTTATTTTGCTCTTACAGGCTTTCCTTGACAAGCCACATTAATCTATTCTATGGCCACAGAAGAGCATAAAAAATCGTGGATGTTCACACTTTGTCACTGAGATGTTAGTCCAGCCAGTCCAATTCCCGACAACTGCCCGAGCGCAAGGAAATCTGGGGAACGTAACTTGTCGTTAAGCCCGCGCTGTCAGTTATCCAAAGCATATTGAACATGTGCCAGGCATGAGACGCCACGATGCCCAGGTTCCCTAAGCGAGCCAAATGTCCGACAACTGCCCGAGCGCAAGAAAGTCCGGGGAAATGCAATTTATTGATTACACCCGCGCTGCCAGTCGTCCACAACATATTAGGACATATTCCAGGCATGAGATACCCGCTGTGCTCGGGCTAAAGTACGTCCCGGTTGAGTTGTGCACAAAAGGTCCCCCAAACCAGCCAAACGCCCGACAACTGTCCGTGTGCAAGAATCCCCGGGAAAAGCAGTTTATAGGGTCAAGTTATAGGAGGTATTGTACCTCAGTTGGATGGTTCGTAGCCCAGCACGAATCCTTCACAGGCCCCTGGTTAAACTAACCTGCACTTGGGTCTAAGGACCCTAGGCGATTTAGGTGAGTTCGGGAGGACTAACTATAACGGATTACTCTTATATCAACATATTCTATATGTATTGTTGGTTGTGGAGGTGCTGTGTGGGAACATTGCGGGTTTGCGGCCCGTCCCCGATGTGGCGGACTTCCAGCCAGACGGCCTGAAGGTCCATATCACAAATTACACATCCGCCCAAACCTCGGTTAACCGGGCCATGTAGGACCTGGTGTTTATCACGGATTAATAATGGATTTTTCGAAATTTAGTCTGCGCTTTGTGGTGTGAATTCAACCCCGTGGAGATCAAAGAGCTTTGCAGCTTATTTTCCCATGGGGAAACCTCAGTGAGAGAATGTTGAAGATGAGCCTAACAGCTTCCTGGGCTTCATAATACCTCTAACCAGTAGCAAATATAAGATGCAATGCTGCCGTGGCTGCCACAGCATTTCTTCCCCATAATCTTTCCATTCAAGGTAGAAGAGCCTGCCTGAAACCAAACTTCCCCAGACAGCATTCTCAGCCTCACTGCGTTTACTTCTCCACTATGCGATTTTCCTTGGCGATCGAAGATTACCTGTATCGTGGTAGGGCTGGAGGTCATGAGGAGGACCCTCACGACTCTTTATAGAGTGTGGTTCGAGACACCGCAGCCCGTGCCACCAGAGATAAATGGATGGGCCGCGGACGGCGCAAAAACCTCATGTCCCGAAGCCAGATGTAAGTGCGTCTCTTAAATAGATTGCATACGTTTTACATAGACATAAAGATCATTTTGGTTTGTTACAATCGCAGCCAACACTCAAGCTTTGAAAGTGAACATTTTGAAGAAGAGGACTATATTTGCCTGTTAATCGCATTCGAAAACATTTTCATCAGTCCTCTATAGTACATAGTTGTGAGGGCACATGATATTGGTAATCAAGGAAACCGGATCACAACCTTGTGTTCCAAGTGATCACTATAACGCCTGTAATACTCGGGAACCTGCTCGATATCAATGATCGAGCTCACCACAAAGCTAGGAGTAGCTCGACCGGCGGCGATCAGGTCAATAAGCGCTTGCGCATGGTTTAGTGGCAGAACAATACCGCTTCCAACGGTCAGGGCTTTCCTCCACAAGGATGCGATGGATATAGGAACCTGGGCAGGAATCTGGTCGGCAAACGGAGCTCCCCGGGTGCTATTCTGTCCACCAGTGTAAACGCCAGCGATGGCAATGCCTCCTTGCTGGGCGACGACTGCAATCAGGTCGCGGGGGACTAATCCATCAACGCGTTGACCCGTTGCATTTACCGACTCGAAGCCAACGCAATCCAAAGCCCGGGTGACTCCATTCGGTTCAAGAGCAAGGATCTGCGCAACGGGATCTGAAGTATTAAAGCTGATGGGCACAGCGCCTATCGATGACGCCAGTTCTAGTCGACTTGGGACTTGGTCAACCGAGTAGACGCGCTTAGCACCGCGAAGCATAGCGGAGTACGCCGCCATGAGGCCTACCGGCCCTGCCCCGAAGACGGCGACGGTATCACCTGGCTGGAATCCACTGTAGCTCAGCGCCTGCCAGCCAGTGGAGAAAATGTCCGAAACCATTAAATAGTCAAGTTCCTTAGTTGCATTTCCAGTCTGATTGTTAAAAGGAATGGGGATAAGGCTCATATCCGCGAAAGGGACACGAGCGTATTCGGCTATAAAAACTATATCAGTGACTGATGCAAGGCTGGGATATCGAAAGGGCTACTAAATTGTACCTTGCAGACCACCATAGTCAGGGGAGCCGCTACCGAAAGAAAGCGGATGGTTTTGACCGTAATGGCCATCATGTGCGTTATCTGGGATAATAACATAGTCTCCAACCTGGAGAGACGACACGGCACTGCCAACCTCCGAGACGTATCCAACCGCCTCATGGCCCAGGCCCCACGGCACGTTGGGAGACCCCGAATAGCCATGGTAAAAATGTAAATCGGACCCACAGATTGCGGAGGTGGGGATTCGGATGATGGCATCTGTCTGGTTTATGATGTGCGGAACTGGCATATCGATCACGGACACGTTATAAGGTTGCCCAAACCAGGCCACCGCTCGCATGGTAGCGGTAAGTGTTGAATTAAGTGGCATCTTGCAAGACGGAAGTGATGAGCTAGAGCGCTTCTGCTGCTGGTTTGATACTTCGATATCTCCTGATCAGGCCGAATCAAACAATCGAACGTGGACAAATATGTTCTTATACTACGCTCCTGTACACAGTGTGGGTATGACCAGCATTCGAAGTCTCGGGCATCTTGCTTTGCTTGTGCCAAACGCGTCATCGGCGAGCACAGCCTAGTATTGATAATTGTCCTCGGCGTTTGCCGCATACGTGGACTCCGGTTTGACAATAGCTCTTGCAACCGGTCAGCTTTGCTGATCTAGTGGATGTCACCCATGTTCGGTGGCTAAAACTAGACTCTGTATCTGATAAGGAATAGTTGTGTCATCAACAGCTAGCAGAGCATGTGCCCCCGGTCATAAATCTCACCCATTTTTGAAGTCTAATCACGGGCCGGTTGCAAGAAATTGATCAGCCAGGGGACACGTATCTTGCTGCCACTGAGGCGAGCGGCTCGGCTGTATTTCGGAAGAAAGCAGATTGCATCGGGCAAAAATTGCTTTATTGGAAAATATCCCATACTATGGGGTAGACTCGGGGACAGAATCCAGAAAGTGAAGACGTGATTATGCGCTAATGGTGGGTCTTGTCTTGGGAGGTTTGACATCAGAATGCTATTTGCAGGTTATGTGGTGTATCGTCTTCTCGTCCCTTTGGTGACTCGTAAGCTGTCCTTGATTGACGTCCGTTCAAGTTGGAAACAGTGAATAGTGGTAGGCAATAAGGGGAAGGTTCTATGTAATAATGGTCTGGGTATTTCTAGTTGTTCGCAGTTAAAGTAGAGGTAAGAGGGGCTGGCCTCTTAGGGAAAGAGAGAAAGCCATGACCCACTGTATAGAATATTGCGTAGGTGGTAGGTTCTCTCTCTCGTTCAAACGACTTAACTATCTAATGCTGTAAGCTAACGATGTCAGCGTCCGACAGCGACATGGTCATAGCACAAGATCCCCGTATGTGGAATACCACGATAAGCCATTCCGGTCATTTTATACAAAACAGCGGTCTTTCGTTGCGCTTTTCTCTCCAGTGATTGGTAGATTGGAACAAATCGTGACAGTTCCGAATGACCCAGCCCCAGGAACGCGCAAATGAGTCTGTGACTTCCCACCCAGCAGGATCCCAAGGATCTTTCCATACAATAAGCCCCGTTCTGCCAGTCTGTGCGCTTCCATACCCCTTCATATCGAGACAAAGTTGTGTTTCATCAAATGATTCCCCAGCCAGGATCAAATTATCCCTCATTTGAGGGATCGGCAGTAGGTCTAGCCAAGGATGATGGGGTATCTGCCGCTGGATCATAGTGGGCTGCAGACTATAAGGGAGTGATTGCTCAAGGTCCCGTTGCCACGGGCCTGTAGTATTGAACGGCGATAGAGCTTCATCATGTAAATTTTCTGAAGTCAACCCAAAAATCTTAATGTTTTCGAAAAGCGCCCTGGTGAAATTGAGCTGGATTAAGTGGAGCAAAAGATCCGAACGCGGAGAACCGAGCAGATATGATCGATATGCAGTGTCTTCCAACTTTCGCATCAATGTCTTTGTCAGTTCTGAGTCCGGGGTGAGAATATGTATCTTCTCAATTTCCCCCAGAGTCATACGGAATACCATTCCAGGGTCGGGAGATGTTGCCGGTATGCGTTTATTGTCATGGAAAGCAGGTACCGACGTGGCCAACAATTGGCTTTGTTGAGGAGTAGAACCGTAGTTGTCGTAATTCTCCATCCTCTCCGTTGAATCTTTTGGCGGTTTCTTGTCTCTGAGGCCTGTGGTCCAGTCAGACAAAGAGCCATGATCCACTTCTCGCTCACTGATATGAACTGGACTTACGTCGAGCTCTCTGGTTCACGCGGTTCTGCAACTTCCGCCGTGTTCTAGGGTCACTGATTCCCGACCAATCGTCATCTGGCCAGACACTGAGGCGTTGCGTGAATGATTGTAAAACAATCCGGTCTTGAGATGCGCCGACCCCATCCACTTTCCGATTGGCCATTTCGGTAATGTCACTAGCAAATCTTCTGTTCTATCACAAAAAAAAGGAAAAAAGAAAGAGCACGAATGCAACTTGCTGACAGGAAAACGGCACAGGCGGGTGTGGGGGAAGGAGTAAAAAGAGGTTATGCGCATGCGCGGGAGGATCCTGCATAATGTGGTCGAGACAGGCTGGGCTAGTCTCTCCAAGTTACGACAATTTAAACTTCAAGGTACATATCCGTGGTTCAGAAGAAACGAAACCATAGCCAGCTGTTAGAAGCCAATAAAAAGTACCCGTGGGCCCACTTTGTCATATACCTGCATGAAGCTAACCAGTATAAAGTAATAGTGGGCCACTATGGCTTGGGATCGCCTCAGCTATCCGGCGGGGATAACGGTTGTTCCAAATACGCTATTTCCGTACTATGCGTAACCCTATTTTATTGAACTGAATAAACAGCGGAAATTCTTATCCCTAAGTTTATACTGATGTGCGATATTGAGATCATCATCCCCAGGACGCTTGGCACAGGAATGGCATCGTTGCTTGTGGAGCCGGGCGCACTTGATCAGTTTGGTCTTTGAACTTCCTCGCAAGTGACGTTGTCTATATAAAGCGGTACAGCTCCATGTCTAATGTATGATTCTCTTGATAATAGACCATCGACAGAATAGATACAAATTGCAGTTTGGAACAGTTATTTTACGTCTCACTATTGACACCTGCACAACATGTTGCGAGTCATTGCTCTACTAGCCTTTTTTCTGGGGCTGTTTAACGCAGCAGCCTGCTACCAGAACCAAGCGACAATGAACCAGACAGCGTCCGTCAATTGCCAGTATGCAGTACGTGCCCCTCGCCAGCTTTGCTTGACTAGTATCTAACGATCCCAGTGCTCTCGTCTTTCAGCCATCTTTAGATCTGCCCTGCATTACCCAGATCGAGACAACTTCACCATCTGGGATGCTAAACAACAAGAAGCCCGGCCGGCTTGTCGGGTTGAGCCCTCCAACGCGACCGACGTTTCAAGAATACTGGATATCCTCGTGGGCAGCTGGTGCCACTTTTCTGTTAAGGGTGGTGGCCATTCTAGAAACCCGGGGGACTCTAATTCACAAGGCGGCGTGACTCTGGACTTGGGTCGGCTGAACAGTGTTGAAATAATGGACGATGGGGCCAGAGCTCGTGTTGGCGGGGGTGCAAACTCTGCTCAAGTATATCGGGCATTGGAGTCCCAAAAGCTATCATTTGTTGGCGGCCGGGTTGGTACTGTTGGTGTGGGCGGATTTAGTCTGGGTGGTGGAACATCCCCATTATCGAACAAACATGGATGGGCATTAGATAACATTTACGAATACGAGGTATGTGTTCTCCTAGCATATTTGAATTCTAACGTTTTCTGACGAGGATATAGGTTGTACTTGCCAATGGAACTATAACCACTGCCTCTGAGACACACAACCCAGATCTTTATTATGCTCTTCGCGGCGGTGGCAACAACTTCGGCATTGTCACAAACTTCGTTGTTCGTACATTTCCTCAGGGACCTGTCTTCACCGGCATGACTTCCTATGCCGCCAATCAGTCTGAGCAGGTTCTCGACAGGGTCTATGACCTGTATACCGACCGTGCTCTGACAAGCGACGTGGAGATGGGCTATGACCTTTACTACACCTATGATTCCAACAGTGACGAGTTCATCCTGATGGGTGCTCAACGCTACGGGAAGCCAGTGGAGAATCCCAAAGTCTTCCATGACATCAATCAAATACCCACGTTAAGCAGAAATACATTTATCGGCAATTTGAGTAGCCTGGCGGATGATTCCGGCCCAATGGGAACTACCAGGTACGTTGTGGTCTGCCAGTGCAAGTCCTGGCTTTGCTCTTTTTCTATCGTTCTATTTACTCAAGTGACCGCGGCAGGCACTTGTTTGCTACGTTGAGTGTGTCACCATCCCGTCCATTACTCTCAACAGCCCTTCAGATTTTTCAACAAGAGGTGGAGTCTATAAAGACAGTTCGTGGGCTGGTGCCCAACTTTATCTGTTATCCACTCCAACGGAACGCTCTCGCAGCGATGAAGCAAAGGGGCGGTAATGCTTTGGGTATCGATCGTGACGAACCTCTTTTTAGTGAGTGGCTTTATATTGGCAAATCTCTAGGCGTGTTGTCTAACGTATAACTTAGTTATCCTGATATCCACCGCGTGGTTGGACAGACGAGACGACGCCACCGTGAATAGGATGACTGAAAATATTATCTCTAGAATTGAGGCAGTGGCCAAAGAGCTGAAAGTCGCTGACCGGTATCTTTATATCAACTACGCTTCTGCTGCACAGGCAGACAAAGTCTTTGCTGGTTACGGCGAGAAGAATTGGCAGAGACTGAGAGATATCCAGAGATCTGTCGATCCTCGAGGTATCTTCACCTCAAAAGGCCTATGGAAAGGGTTTGTCAAATTGCTGTAATGTAGCTATTGACCAGTGAGGTGACTTACATGCGTTGATCGAGTCCTTCTTTCCCATCATGCTGAATGCTGTCCTCCATGGGGAGTCTTCAAGAGTTAGAAAGGTAGAATATTCCCGAGTTCAATAGGAGATTACATACATATTCGGGCTGTTCTCAAGCTTCTCCTACGACCGCCGATGAGTTGGCGAGGAAGATGATACTAATACATCGGAGACCCCTATGCGCGACCCGTGTCGCCAAATACTCTACTACCGCGGAAGGAACAAGCGGACAAACCACTGTGGCAACATTGTGCCATAAAAATAGACGAAGTCGCAGCTCCCGCGCTATAATCTAACTAACTATCGAGAATTGCCAGTGCCCTTTACCTGATCCCCCGTAGGCCATTGTTCTCCACGCTGTCGATCTTGCCAGAGCTGAAGAGCAAGCTGCCATCCGCTCCCCCAAAGGTTCTTGTTGTGGACTACGTACTTACGTCATGAAATCCTAGGTGCACCGCTGAACGGGCGAGGCTGCTACATGTCCCATTTGCATTTCGGAAGGGTGGAATCAAGCCCCTCTGGACAAATTCCCACACGCAACAGACATGCATCGCATCTGGAGCTGCTCAGCTACCTCCGTGTGTAGCTCTAAGAGTTATGAGCCATGCCCGAGGTTCGCAATAAAGAATAAATGGGGAAGGAAGTTGTTGAAGTAAACAGGGGAACGGAAGATAATAGTCACAGACACTTACTCTCTGGTCTTCGCAGGACTGTGTCCGGATAGGCAGTCTCGGACATGCCTGCCAATCTCCGTTGTGGCCCCCTCCCTTAGGCCCCCGATCATTTCTGTCGATAATCCGTCCGATTGCCGTTTGATGATTGTCTCAAGAACGGAATCCATGTCGCGGAAGGCACAAGCATCAAAGTAAAAACGCGATAGAGTGAGCCCTTCATACCATTCGCTACGTGATGATTGCCTGCCTCTACTCTGTCTGCCAATTGGCACCACAAAAAGGAAAATCAAGTGATAATGGACGGTACTGTAAAAATGTCTGGAGTGGAATTGGAAGGGCCTCTGACACCAAAAGACAGTTAGAAGATCAGTGATCAACGCACATTCAGTTAGCGCGTAAGCGGTCTCCACACCGTAGAATTCCAGGACCTGATAATGATGTCCGCTTTATCAACTTCAACTTTCCTCGCGGAAAAACTAGGCCTAGACTATACATCGGAGTACATAACCGAAATAAGGCGCACTGCAGATGGCCCCACCTGGATCTAGCCCTAATGTAGCAGTAGTACAGTCAGGTACATCAAATACAGTCACGATATCAGGGCAGGAGGTCCAAGACTTCTCTATAGTTAAGATGGAAATCATCCGCTTTTAGTTAGCCCTCATGCAGGAGTATGACATGGTGGGTCCATGGACACAGAACCTTACAATCAGCCTGTGGAAACAACTTTCGTCATGCCGATTGTCGCGAGGTGCCAGTCGGCCACTATATCAATTAGCACGAAGCCCGGCTCTGGTTCCTTGCATTCACAGTAGCGGCTTTGCAACAACAATTTCCAATTCTCATAAAACCATCACTTTCCTTGTGAGTTCCGCTGTATGCCCATCCACCTCCCGAGGGTTGTGGAACGACGCTCACGACGTTGAGGTATGGTCACGCTGACTCTCTACTAGACCTTAAGAATCTACCAAAATGGTTAAGACACTCCTGTTTGGCGACCAGCAGGTCCCCGTTCCCGGCTTTGGGGCCATGGGCCTCAATTCTGCGATGGGGACAGATCTCGATCTTGAACAGTCTGAGCCTGTTCTCTTGAAAGCTATCGAACTTGGCTGTACATTCTGGGATACCGCGGTAAGTAGTCTGTTCAAAGTTATTCCGAGGATACCGATATCTAATTACGTTGCGACCTAGGTTGCCTACAAGAATGGCGAAAATGAGAAGCTGCTTGGAGACTTTATAAAGAAGTACAATGTCCGCGATAGGCTTTTCGGTGGGCATAATAACCTCTTTCTGTCTCTAAATTGTGTCACTGGCTGACGTCGCGTCGCCACACAGTGGCCTCTAAGTGTGGGTTTGACGTCTTTGGACCCGAACGGAAAGTGACGAACTCGGCCGCCCACATTAAGGAATACATTGAGGGGACGATTGACAGGCTTGGTTTCACCCCTGATCTCTACTATCTACACAGAATCGACCCCAGTACGTATAAAGCAAACGCAGAAAGTGATTTTTTTGGGGCCAAATCCAATATCCTAACTGTACAACCAAAGATACCCCCTTAGAGGAATCCATCGGCGCCCTTGATGAACTTCGCCGGGCCGGGAAAACAAAATACATTGGGTTATCCGAATGCTCTGCTGCGACTCTGCGCAGGGCACACGCGAGTTCGTCTTGTCTGCAAATTACACATTGGAGAGTGCGTCCTAACGTGTCCTAGTCGCCAAAATCGATGCCGTTCAAGCCGAGTACTCTGCTTTTGAGACATTGCACGAGACGACTGGCCTGATCCAGACTGCAAAGGAATTGGGCGTGGCCTTTGTGGCATTCAGCCCGCTGGGTCATGGCTGGCTTGTGGATGACTTCCAGTACAAGTCTCCCGATGATTTTGCCCCTAATGATTTCCGACGCACTGGTACGTCGAACCGCCTACAGGTGGAAGTCCGATAGGATTAGGGTAAACTGACCCTTGCGGACCTTAGTTCCCAAGTTCCAGGGCGAAAACTTCTATAAGAACAAGGCTATCGTTGACGAGATCAAGAAGCTAGCAATCCGAAAGGGTTGCTCGGTTGCGCAGATCGCCCTAGCTTGGGTTTCGGCGCAAGGATTGATTGCGATTCCAGGAACGACCAAACCCTCACGCTTAGAAGAGAACTGGGCATCTCGTGACATCGAATTGACGGAAGAAGAGCTGACGGAGATGCGAAGGATTGTGGACGCTGCTAAGCCGGTTGGAGAGAGATTTGCTCCTATCTTCCAATCGATGGTCGGTCATTAGAGCCTACGCACAAGGTCTGGTTGCTACGGGATGGTGGCAAGTTTGGATGTAGAATTGGTCGCATGACGTCGTCATCTGCTCTAACAATGGTCGACGGGATCATATAGGTATGTAGAGTCCTTACAAGGAGGGTCACGTTACATAGCTGCTTTAAACTGAAGTGTTCCACTACAACTCTCCAGTGTCGTCGTCTTCCAGGCAAAGATTACATTGGTATAGGCCGCTTGGTGGTTATACGCACCCAGTCCTGCGAATTAAGGGGAAGGTCTCAAGTTAAATCCGCGTCTCAAAGCAATTTCAGTGTATTGATAAAGCTATGGAGTGACTGGGGTAATTAATCATACTTTGTGTATGGGACCCTGATGTGAGTTTATCTGAGTCTCCTGCCAGGGCCCAAAAGGACCGGTCCAAACTTGCGAATCGCGTCTTCAGTTGTCGCATCGGGACCGAGGTCCCACTCGAATCTGGACTCGCGTCGTCTTTGCCGTTTTGGGTAGCGAGCCTCCTGCTTTGTCCACTTGGGACGTCTTTTTCCACCCTTAGTTCCCGGTTCTGTCTGGTCATCGTCGTCGTCATCCTCATCCTCATCCTCTTCCTCTTCCTCCCTGTTGTCGTCCTCCTCCTCGTCAGAGTCCCGGTAATGGTAATCTTCGTCCTTACTCGGACGTTGCAACTGGTATCTTCTTTCAGTCTCCTCCTCGTCGTCCAAGTAATACAGGTCTCGAAGGATGGTCAGCTTCATGACCATGTCCTGAGGAATACGCCCTATCCTAGGGCTTCCAAGTGCCCCAATGGCCTTTCGAATGGTTGGGAGTGGGGCACCATGCCACTGCTTAGGTGCTTGGGTGTTTTGTGCCAATGGGGTATCGTCCAGATAGACCCGAGTATATTGCCCTCCTTGGGCGACATCGGTGATTTTCCCCTGTCTATACTGATACCGTGCATATTCATGTGCCAGCGGCACCCTTCTCTTTGTAATATTGCCTTGGCGGCGAATCCTGTCCCTGAGTTCGAACCGGATAAAGAAATCCAGATCACTGGGCACGAAAAAAAACATCGGGTCCAACGCGTCATCATAATATGTATGGCAATTGTAGCATAGCCCGACAGCATTCATATTGAGAGTGGGTCAAAATTAATTAGGCCCCGTTGTTCTAAAAGCCGTGTCTAGTCTCGCTGTTAGTGAGAAGGCACTTGTCATGTTACTATATGGAAACCATACTGCTCCATCCTCTTTCCCAAGTACATGGGCAATCTGTATTCTTATTGATCCGCAAGACCAACATTTCTCGCTCATTCTCTTCATCTTCTCCTTCACATGGGACGGAAATGAGCCAGATATAACGGTGCTATTTTTGCTGTTGACGGCCAAGGAGGTGGTGGCATGCGATCAGTATTGTTCGGGGGCTTCGTAAAACAAGTGAAGAAATTGAAGCAGTGTATAGGATGCTAGACACAATCGGATTTTCGAACTGTCAGAATCGGTTGTCAATCTGTTGATGCTTTGCCATATAGGTTTAGGAAGGAGCGACTGCTTCCTACAACTGGACTTTCTATTCTTATGTTTTGTTGTGTAGTTCACGTCATAAATACACTGACTGTGCCCTATGTATAACCATGGGACCCCTATTAACACCCGAATTGGGAAATCTGGTAGCCTACCAAGATGGGCTGTTCCGAGACATAAACGGTATGCATGCTCATCTTTGTAAAATTTGCTCGGTGCAAGTATTAATCTCGTACAGCATACCGCCTGGTATAACTCTCATCCGATCGTCGACCGACAGAGTATGACTCTCCTATGGACAGACAGCTTCCTGGTTTATGTTTCCATGGTAGATAGATACGTCCCACACTGGCTTCTTCATGTCGCATCAGATCTAACTATGATCCTCCTGTCTCACCTCATAAATAGCATTGAGAACCAGGACCTTGCGGCTGGATGTTACAATGTCAATACAGGCACCAGTTGACTACGACTAGAATATTGTATCGATACTTTCGACTAAAGCCTACAGGTTAAATGGTCACTGATATAAGATGCAGCATATACGGGTTCCTGATACGGTACCAGCTGGAGAATGCCGGATAACCTCCGTAGTAGTCTAACAGCGCCGGCAAAGGTTGATATCCGTACTCAAGCACGTCGTCGTACTGGTCCCATGGCCTCACAAGAGGACGACCCTAGCATAGCCCTTCAGTGTCATAGCAAGCCACCATCTGTGAGTGCATGTACAAGAAGAGCTCTCCTTGACGGTCAATGGTCCTGACATTCTTGTTGTCTCCCCCAGCACCGCGAAACACCATGTGCCAGTGGTAATGAGCATCATCCATGTCATAATCGTCCCGCCAGGACGACAATAATGCAGGGCCTTGGAGTGTGTCGGCTGTATTCTTTAGTAATCTATGGAGGCTCATGCAGTGCGGCAGCTTGACGGGACTTTGATGCTTCAGTATAAGAAAGAAATTATGGATCTTGAGAGCCACGTCAGAAGACAGGGGTATGTCTAGTTCTCAAAGGGTCATGACTTTATGTAGATCTAGCGTAGGATGCCATGGGGATTGCGCTAATTTGAGCTTTGTTGGAGATATATTCCCCTGGTCTCCGTGAGCTGTGTATAAATTCAATTAGTCAGTGTGCAAATCAGAGATACCCGGGCTGGTGCGCATGGTGGCATGAGAAAAGATCCCAATTCTCTTTTGCTACCCTTTCTGCTTGACTGCGCTCAGTTTGGCTGCATGCCCACGGTTGGTGGCTTGCAACAGTATCTTTTCCCATCTTCCGCTACGAACAGTCTCTCTTTAGCCATATCTTCTTTAACCTCTCTAGTCGGAATTGATCGGTTCGCGCCGGGTATAATTAATATACCAGTGTGACTCAGACCCTTAACCTGTCGCTTGGTCTTAAAAGTGCTGTATAGGCTTTGCGTGTCCCTAGTCCGCTTGACCATATCGTTAGTACTAGGTATGGCCCTACCCAGCTTTGACGGACGTTAATTGGCCACATCTAGAGCAATGCTCGTGTTGGAATTGCCAAAACGTCCTCGTCTAACCGGATTTGGGGAGAACAAGAAGATATAAACACCTGGTCCTAGTCCTCATTTCCCATCCATTTCTCTCCATCGCTCTACTGTGCTGAATTGATCTCGATTTCTCTTCAAGCATAAGTTCTCTAAAAGCAACGGAAGTAACGACAGGAAAGAGAAGGAAGCATGGCTCGAGTCCTCCTCACTGGTTCGTATTTCACATCAGGAGTGAAATATACGAGAGCCTAGCTTCAACTGACAGCACTAACAGGCGGTAATGGATTCCTTGGAAGCCATGTTCTTGGTCTCCTCTTGGATCGAGGGTAATGCAATTCACTATCAGCCTCCGTCCCCCAGCTTTACCTATGATACTTACGTGTTCCTAGATATTCAGTCGTAACCACTGTCCGCAGTCTCGAGAAGGCTGAGCAGATCCGTGAATGCCACCATCTACATGCATCTACCACTCAGCTACGAGTCATCATCGTTCCTGACTTTACGAGCGCTGGTGCTTTTGATGAATGTTTCAAATCTGACGCGCCCCTCGATGTGGTCATCCATACTGCGTCTCCGTTTCGCTACTCGATTACCGATATTCAGCGAGAACTCTTGAATCCTGCAATCGGTGGGACTGTTGCGTTGCTGGAAGCAGTTCGGAAAAGTGCACCATCGGTTAAGAAAGTGGTACGCTTCCCGCATCGTAGTGAAATGAAGCAGACGTACTTGGCTTCAGTTCCCGAGGTTGTTTTAACCAACTGCAGATCGTAACATCTTCTTTCGCATCGATCATCAACAGCTATAAGGGGAACAGTTGGGTCGAGCATACTTATTCCGAGGAAGATTGGAACCCAATTACCCTTTCGGACGCTCATTTAAATCCTCTCAACGGATACAGAGGTTAGAATCACCTCCTCGTCCAACTGATGTTCATATATTCGAACTAAAACTTCTATCTAGCAAGCAAGACTTTTGCCGAGCGAGCATGTTGGGAGTTTCTTGAGAGAGAGAACCCACCTTTCTCTCTGGTTACGTTATGTCCAACATTGATGTTTGGCCCAGTGATACACCCACTGCGCAACCTCGACGAACTCAACACGTCGAACCAGCGGATCCGGAATTTTATGGTAGGCGCATATAAAGCTGAAATCCCCGACACAGGAACATCGTTCTTTCTCTGGATAGATGTTCGTGACGCCGCCTTAGCCCATATAAGAGCGATGGAAGCTCCAGGAGTCGAGAATAAAAGATTCTTATTGACTGCTGGTTATTTCTCAAACAAGGAGATCTGTGAAGTCATCCGAGACTCCTTCTCGGAGTACAGACCGCAACTCCCAGAACAAAACGCGGGCGGGGGCGGGTATCCCCACGGAGGACTGTACAGGTTTGACAACTCCCAAGCAACCGAGAAGCTTGGCTTGACATATCGAACCCTGACCACGAGCATTACTGAGACTGTGATATCGTTACAAAAATTACAAACCTAGATAGAATTTCTGAAGCGGTTCGAACCTTTGTTTACTGAGTATATAATTTATCATTCATTTCAAATATTAGAAACAGAGTTTCTGCTGTCTCCTGCTGCGTCAACTCAGCCTTCAGTCAGCCCTGTGCAGAGCCACTTATGATAGGGTTAGCAGGACTACCAAAACGGCGTCAAGTGTAGCCATTTTTGGCCGCTGGCTAACTGTTTCATCGTATATAGAGTAAAGTCTGTCAACCAGGTAACCAAACCTAATAAGGGATTTACGGAGTTCTCTGGGATGCTGATTTGAGTAATCAGACTTGCGAAATATGCCATATTGCAATTCAACTCACTGATCAGAATCTGATCTGTCTGAAAATGCTTCCAATTACTTTTACTATCTATGAATTCTTAAGACGCCTGCAGGGAAACTGCCTTAGGGCTGCACTAGCCAACAAGAGTGCCAGAGCAAACTTTATTGGTAGACTTTCTCGTTGAATTACTATCACACTCAAACAGAGAAATTAAAATTGATCATTCCCTATTCCCTGGGCCCCGGGCCCATGTCTCTCCTGTTCTGGTGATGTTATCAGCTGATGACAAGAGGTTAGCAAAATGCACATCCTTCTGTCATAGTAGGATGAAGCTTTGACCCCCAGATGCAATGTGATGAAGCTTAACCTGCAAGTTACTCCAATAGCCTGTGCTTGACAGGTCAGAGGATGCTATGCTGCATGATCTGATCTTGGAAACTTGCAGGATCATCTTCTGTTTTCTTACCTTCACTCTTTGCATATACCTTTTTCCAGTCTCAGGTCGGCCAGCCACAGTCAGGGGAGTTATGGCACGGCACATGAAGAAGAAGATCTGGATCACGATATAGCCCAAAAGCACCATGCAGCTGTCCCTGGACTTGATTACACTGCGTACTCTGGGTCATGCACAGGATGGGATTACCTTTAACGCTTATATGCCAAACCGGATCCCATTTGGAGACAAAGGGCTTCAGAGGTTGCACAGACCAACGTGCTCTAAACACCAACTGCCTGGTTGCTACTTTTCTGATACGAACCGAGGAGTGTTCTGGATACCCGATAGCCCGAGACCCAAACGCTAGAGCCTACCGTGTTGTAAGTGTCAGGCGTGCCTAGGTACTCTCACATCGAACTGCAGCACTCCAAACGGAGCACTGCTGTTTGACTCTGGTTACAATCCACTAGTATTCTAGTCATGGGTGGAAATTTGATCTTCCGGACCTATTCTATCTATACTCAGACTACTTAGATTATACAAGACTTTGCCTCTTTGCAAGCGGAGGTCCTTTTGTAGATCGGGTCTCCTTTGATGTCTCCATCATCGGTCAGGAGTTCCTGCTCGCTGGCTCCTAGGTAATATGTGGTATATGTGATTTGGGAGAGGGTCCAAAAGACAAGACTGACAACTAGTGAAAAGTGTCAGGTGTGTATCATGGGTTGAGGTCTAAAGGCAACAATTAGCCATAGAATATTGTAGATGCAGGACCTGACATATGTCTGATTCTGAGCATGATGAGACAAGATAAACGCGAGGCATGGCTGAGATGAAGGATAATCCCAGCGGAAAAATATGAGTCCCCGGCCTGGCGTCGGTTGTCATGATATACCTCAGGTACATGCAGATCCTGATTTCGTGTCTAAGGCATTCTGGGAAGAAATGTTTCAGACAGGCGTTCATTCTTTACAATGGTCTCATCTAGACAGCTTCATTACGCTTTAAGAAATGTGTGGTATGCTGAAGGTATGATCATTCAAGAAAGAAAAAGGAAAAATGAAGTTGCTTTGAGAGATGGATATAACAACGAGATGTGAATGTGGTCTGTTCTTAACTGAATGATTGCTGAAATATGCTCAGGCCTAATATTCAGGTCTTAAAAAGCAACCGAGGTCCAGAAGCCAGACTGTGCAAACAAAGGAAAGAAATATATATAAAGGAAAGAAGGTGCGGACGTTGTCCCGCAGACATGTGTCTGATGCTTGACGGCCCTGAGGCCAGTCGGGGGGTTGTATCAATGTTGTGCCGCTGGGTTCCTCCCGCGACCTATGTACTGCATACTGAACCGTCTTCTACTTCAGTGCTCATCTGGGCTTGAGGAGTCGCTGCCGCTATCCCGAAGCCACGTGTGTTCTCTGTCACTGATTATATGTGCAAATCTGGCTCTGCTGTCCAAGGGATATTTGCTGGGCTTGCACTGTTGGATGGCAGCAGGCTCTCTCCTTGACACCATCATTGTCTATGTGCAATCAACCGATGCACTTTAGACTCGCGCTCGGGGTCGACTTGCCGATCAGGTAGAATCTCGAGGTGGGGGGTATATATGATGGACGTTGTAGGTACTGAGCACAGGTGCCGAGTCCATCTCGAACCCATAGTTTTGCCCTTATTGGGCCAGACGCGCATACGGTTGTATACGTTGGTTTGCGCAGTCTTTTGCTGGTGATGAGTACGGTGGGGCGGGACGTCGGATGTGGATGTGGATGTGGATGGGGGTGTTATCGTCTTGCAGATTACGGAGAAGGCCATCGGTATCAAGGAGTGGTGCCGATACGAGTACGGGAATGACGTCGCCGACCGTTGAGGGTCGTTGATAGGTATTCGACGCAGCGTTGAGATGAATTTAAGTGTTGTCTTCGAATGTGTTTGGTTCAATCAGTTGACATAGACCATAACCGCAAACGACATCAGGCAAAAGCACAACGGAATGTAGACCTTGCGATCCACACCCATATCCGTGCTAGTGAGTGACGAGGCCGAGGAAGAGGGGACGGAGCGGCTTGGGTTTCTGCGTGTGGACGATCTGGTAGATTTGTGGGCCATTTTCTGGATTTGAAGGGTATAGAGAGATTATCTGAAGTTGAGGTTATCTGAAGACGAAGAAGAAGAAGAAGAAGATAGAGGAAGAGAAGGAGGGGTTATGGAGATGGGGATAGATTCAACGTGGCGGTGATGATCAACCCAACAACATTGCGGAGTACATCCTCCGTCTCAAAAACATTCATTTCCCAACAAATCAGACTGGAGTGTTTGGCCTTGTGATTCGATCAGCTGACTAAGTCTGCGCATTACTAAGGAAACCGAGGCAACTGACTGGCTTGTTTGTTCCTGTTTGTTGATCCAACAAGAATGGCGGGGTGAGTGTGGCTGCAACCTGGCCAGCAGCCACAAGTCATGTGCGAGTTAGAGGCGGTGTCTAAATTTTACAAATTCGTGCATCTCCTCGAGGCTGGTGTTCGATTCCGTCTCAGGAGCCTTCTTTTTTTCTTTTGCTCTCAAAGTCGTAGTCTTCATTTGACATCGGGTAATTCTATTTTGATTCGTATGTCTTGGCCGCCCTTTGTAAATTTTACGTATGTCTGGGCTTGCTTCTTGCCAATGATCACAGGAGCATTTTGACTGGTTCTCAGTGTCCAGGGACAGGACCACGGTGATAGTCCCCTGCTGATGTTTCAGACTGGAGGTACAGGTACCTATCCAATATCTCCCTCCAGTAAGACAATCGGCCCCAGATTAGAATTCCCCTTAATCTATCCGCCCAGCCTCACAATGACCACATGCAACATATTACCACCTTTCATTTCCTGGGGGCTTGGGATGGTACTGTGCAATTTCACTGTCATGATTATTGTTATTATTATTGTTGCTCCCTTTTATACGACCTTCTCATCGGTGAAACATCCTGACATCCTGAAATGTATTATTAGACAAGCAAGCTCTTGTATCTCTCCAGCAGTATGTCGATAGCAGATAGTGGAGAGGGGTATAGTATTATTGCGCGCTAATGAGCTGAATGGAAAAGATCTTGATTCTTGAGGCCTGAAAATTGTGCTCAACGTTTCTCCACATGGCAACCCACATCTTGATCATTCCGTGGCTCGGGACTGGCGAATTTGGAAATGCGCTGTCCTCGGATTGCGCATTCCCTTCGATCATGATGATGAGAGATCAACCGATCGTCTGTCGATTCCTTCTCCATGAGTTAATCTGACACTGAATCCTCAAACATATTATGATCTAACTTGGAATATTATTTTCATCTGTGGCAACTGAATCAAAGAATGAAAAATTTTCAGGTGTCTGGCCGACTAAAATTATCTCTGCCAGAGACATACTAAATAACTAAAACCTAATGGTTAGTAGTTAACCATCTACGGAGTAGACGATACTACCCTGCGAGTCACTAGGACAATATGATCATTTTAGTAGGTACTACTAGATAGACACTAGGCCATAGTCTGCCTAGACCAGGAGATTTCTGCTCTTTCCATCAACA